TATGGATTAATATATAATATAGTTATATTAATGTAATTATAGTAATAATTATAGTTGATAATATAAGTTAATATAGGATAATATATAATATAGATTAATGTATGTTAATATGGTTTAACATATAATATAGTTATATTGATATATAATAATAGTAATAATTATAGTTAATATTTATATAGAATAATAAATACTTATATTTATAATTTAGGATAATATATAAAATATAGTTATATTAATATGACTATATTATATGTTAACCCATATTAAGCCATGTCAACCTATATTATATATGATATATATAATCATATGATGATGTATATGATTATATTATATATTAACCTATATTAATATTAACTGTAATTATTATTATAGTTATATTAATATGACTATATTATATGTTAACCCATATTAAGCCATGTCAACCTATATTATATATGATATATATAATCATATGATGATGTATATGATTATATTATATATTAACCTATATTAATATTAACTGTAATTATTATTATAGTTATATTAATATGACTATATTATATGTTAACCCATATTAAGCCATGTCAACCTATATTATATATGATATATATAATCATATGATGATGTATATGATTATATTATATATTAACCTATATTAATATTAACTGTAATTATTATTATAGTTATATTAATATGACTATATTATATGTTAACCCATATTAAGCCATGTCAACCTATATTATATATGATATATATAATCATATGATGATGTATATGATTATATTATATATTAACCTATATTAATATTAACTGTAATTATTATTATAGTTATATTAATATGACTATATTATATGTTAACCCATATTAAGCCATGTCAACCTATATTATATATGATATATATAATCATATGATGATGTATATGATTATATTATATATTAACCTATATTAATATTAACTGTAATTATTATTATAGTTATATTAATATGACTATATTATATGTTAACCCATATTAAGCCATGTCAACCTATATTATATATGATATATATAATCATATGATGATGTATATGATTATATTATATATTAACCTATATTAATATCTACTATAATTATTACTATAATTATATTAATATAACTATAATAATAATTATAGTTAATATTAATATAGGTTAATATATGATATATCTAATATAAATTAATATTGTTCAATATATAATATAAGTTAATATAGGATAATATATAATATAGGTTAATATAGGTTTATATATAATATCGGTTAATATGGGTTAATATATAATATGAATTAATATATGGGTTAATATATAATATAGTTATAATATATAGATTAATAAATAATGCAGTTATATATTAATATATAATATAGAAACGTGAAGAAAAGTAGTAATAAAATGTTATTCGGAATTTGTACTTCGAACGGATATTTGCCAAGTAAGTATATTTGTAAACATTGGACAAACGCGACGCCTAATCTCTTCGACTCAATCATAAAAGTAAGACGTTTCATGGCGCAACTATCGAATCGAGAATTATTTAAAGGAAATCTGTCTTTATTATACCAGCCATCGATTCGCATGGTGGTACGTACCATCATCAATTTCAATCATCTGTGCAATCTGCATAGAACATTGCGGTTAGAAAATGCATATTCATACCATTCAGCGAAAGTTCTGATGATGCAGTGCAACGCGATCGATTACACGAACTAGTCAAGCAACATTGTGATCGGGAAATCGGAGGCCAATGTTTTGATGCATGCATAACGTAACAACAGTACTATAACATACCACAAACCCAGTGTTTCTGTTAGGAAAGTTTAGAGAGCTATTGCGATCCGGCCGCGTAATACGGCTTCCTGGATTCTCAATAATATTTGCCGTGTGTAAAAGAGAAATCGTGTTTAAATTGTATTTAAACAGAAGTTAAACGAATGTTTGCGAAGCAAGCATTTTTTGAATATTTAAATATCGAAGATATTAATTAATGTTCGTAGAAAAGGATCACGGATGTGAAATAACATTTGAAAATAAAACAGGTTCAACGACGAAAATATTTGCTTCGTAACTTTTATCGATTTTTAAATTCGTGCACGACTCCCCACGAAATATTCAAATTTTTCTGACGTTCGTGCGATAATCATATTTATAAGAATTTCATTTATATATAATAAGCGTTCATACGAATTTAATTTAATGATCGTGTAATAGAAATTCATCTGAAGCGCCATGTAATACTGATTTAATTTTATAACCATGTATAATATAAATTTAATTTAATAATCATTTAATAGAAATTTAATTTTATAACTATATAATACAGATTTAATTTAGATGTGTATAAGAGACAGATATAATACAAATTTAATTTTATAACCATACAATACAAATTTAATTTTATAACCATACAATACAAATTTAATTTTATAACCATACAATACAAATTTAATTTTATAACCATACAATACAAATTTAATTTTATAACCATACAATACAAATTTAATTTTATAACCATACAATACAAATTTAATTTTATAACCATACAATACAAATTTAATTTTATAACCATACAATACAAATTTAATTTTATAACCATACAATACAAATTTAATTTTATAACCATACAATACAAATTTAATTTTATAACCATACAATACAAATTTAATTTTATAACCATACAATACAAATTTAATTTTATAACCATACAATACAAATTTAATTTTATAACCATACAATACAAATTTAATTTTATAACCATACAATACAAATTTAATTTTATAACCATACAATACAAATTTAATTTTATAACCATACAATACAAATTTAATTTTATAACCATACAATACAAATTTAATTTTATAACCATACAATACAAATTTAATTTTATAACCATACAATACAAATTTAATTTTATAACCATACAATACAAATTTAATTTTATAACCATACAATACAAATTTAATTTTATAACCATACAATACAAATTTAATTTTATAACCATACAATACAAATTTAATTTTATAACCATACAATACAAATTTAATTTTATAACCATACAATACAAATTTAATTTTATAACCATACAATACAAATTTAATTTTATAACCATACAATACAAATTTAATTTTATAACCATACAATACAAATTTAATTTTATAACCATACAATACAAATTTAATTTTATAACCATACAATACAAATTTAATTTTATAACCATACAATACAAATTTAATTTTATAACCATACAATACAAATTTAATTTTATAACCATACAATACAAATTTAATTTTATAACCATACAATACAAATTTAATTTTATAACCATACAATACAAATTTAATTTTATAACCATACAATACAAATTTAATTTTATAACCATACAATACAAATTTAATTTTATAACCATACAATACAAATTTAATTTT